CAACTTTAAGTAGATCCATTTTTTGGATAAATTCCAAAAACAACCTTGGGAGTATGTCACTTGAAATGGACAAATCATTAAATCATATGGTACAAGACTTGTAACTTACCCTTTGAGGCTTTTGAATAAAAATTGGTCCGATTTTTAAGGGTGTTAATGGATCGGTTTTGGACTGTACCCCAATGAGTCCAAAACCAATTTGGACAGACCAACAAGACATTGGATTGGACCAATTCAGTCTAAAATATTTATTAGATTGGATTGGATCTGGTTTGTCCATAATAAATTTATATTAGATTGGGTTGGATTAAGCCAATATCTGATCCATTGGTATAAGATAAAATATAGGTGTTAATGGACCAAGTTTTGGTTGAAACCAATCTAAATTAAAACAATTTTGAATAGATTGGAGGGTCCAAACATTGAATTGGACCAGTCCAAAATGATTCATAATATTCGTTGGATTGGATTAGACCTGGTCCATTTGTAATGGACTCACATTGGATTGGACTGGATTGGATCAAATGTAGTCTAATTAACCTCCCTACTTGTGTCCATAATCTCTCAGGTTATCTAACTTTTGAATGAGAATCGACTAAACCCCTTTCTTTTTCGAGTTTCTGAATGAGAATCGAAAACTAGAGAAGAGTCAAAGTTAGACACATTTTCAGATAAACTAGCGGGGACCCATGTGATGCATGGGATTTGTTAAGGAAACCTAAACAATAAAACACATAAGAGTATACAATAGTTTTATATTTCTAACTTTTTAATAATAATTAATTATTTATATTTTATAATATTCTTAACAACTTTTTGCAATACAAAAATAACAAGAATTTATTTCAGCTAAGCTTATTCATCAAAATGATGGAAACAACCAACCCAACCAACTCGACCCAAACTGCTCAATTTCCTATATTTCCGATTGAAATTGGGACCAGTTTCGTTGTGGCCATTTGTAAATTGACCAAAATCGAATGACCCAATTACAGATATATATTAATATTTTTATATTTTAAATATAATTTTTTAATATGGGAAAATGGGGAAATTCCTATATTTTGTAGTCTCAAATATTTTATATTAAAAATTTACTTTTTAATAACATTATTGTATATTTTAAAATTTAAAATTAAGTTTTCAATGTAATCATTTAAACCAATTGAGCAAACCAAAAATCAACCCAAACCAATACCGCCCGATTTAGTTGGTTTCCACTAATGTTTAGTAGATTTTGGGTGACCTACCCATGTCGATTTGGTTGGCTAAATAGCCTATAATTGAACCAAACCAGGTCGTGATCAACACTCATAATTTCATCTAAATTAATATTTTTATCTCTAATAAATAAAAGTAGTTTAATCTCCAATAATTATTAAAAATTTATAGCAAAAATGCACAATAATTGAAAATATGATGATAATGAAAATAAAATAAATATTAATAAAAATAAAATAATTACAATAATTACAAAATATACTAAAAATACTCAAAATATATTAAGTTAGTCAATAAATATTATAATCTCAAAAATACAATAAATACAATAAGTATAATAAAATAATTTAAAATGTTAAATAACAGTAGTTTAATATCCAAAAATTATTAAAAAATTTATGTTCAATAACAAAAGAAATATAGATTTATACATAATTATTGAAAATATATTTATAAAAAAACTATAGATTAAGCTTTTAAAATCATTATTAATGAATATTATTTTTTTTGAAAGATATTTTTCTAGAATTAATAATTGATATAAGTAAAATTGATTATTTAAAATATCATTTTGTTATTAAATAATATCCTTATTTAAATTTAATAATTTTAATTGTTAATTGAATTTATATAATCTATAAAATTATAATTTATTCTATTATTACACAATTTGATTATTAATTTAAATTATTATTAATTTTAATATATTGTTATGATTTTTTATTTTTTTTTTTAATTTATTGCATAATTCCATTATTTTAACTATTTAAAATATATTTATGTTAAATGTTTCGTTATTTAAATATTTAAATAGTATATAAAATATTTAAAAACTTATTTTTGAGTTTAGGATATTTATTTATTGAAATATTTAAATAATATTTTATTTTTTAATTTTAATTTTCTAATATTTGAATAACATTTAATTTGAATAATCTGAAAAATCATAATTTATATTGTTTGTACATAATTTCGTGATGAACTTTGTAAAATATAAAACTATTAATAATATGAAAATGATTTAATCTATTATAATTATTTTTTTTTGCGTTTTTAATGGTTATTTTAAAGTTTATACTATTATTACATAATTTCATTATTAATTTTGTAAAAATATTAAACCAGGTCATGATCAATACTCCTAATTTCATCTAAATTAATATTTTAATCTCTAATAAATAAAATTATTTTAATCTCCAATAATTATTAAAAATTTACCATGAAAGTGCACAATAATTGAAAATATATTGATAATGTAAATAAAATACATAACTAATAAAAATAAAATACATAACTAATAAAAATAAAATACATAACTAATTAAAATAAAATAGTTACAATAATTACAAAAAATACTAAAAATACAAAAACAAATATTAAGTTAGTCATTTACATAATTTAATTATTAATTTTGTAAAAGTTTTAAATTATTATTAATTTTAATATTATGTTATGCTTTTTTATTTGAATTTTTTAATTTATTGCATGTTTTCATTATTTTAATATTTCGTTATTTAAAATATTTACTTATATAAATATTAAAATAGTATATAAAATATTTAAAAATACTCATTACTTGAATTTTAAGATATTTAGTTATTGCAATATAAATAATATTTTATTTTTTAATGTTAAATTTCTAATATTTGAATAACATTTAATTTGAATAATCTGAAAAATCATAGTTTATATTTAACTTTGTAAAATATAAAACTACTAATAATATGGATATGACTGAATCTGCTGTAATTATTTTTTGCATTTTTAATAATTATTTTAAGGTTTATACTATTATTACATAATTTTGTTATTAATTTTTAAAAAATATTAAATTATTATTAATTTGAATATTATGTTACGATTTATTTATCTTAACATTTTTTATTTTATTGTACAATTTCATTATTTTAACTATTTAAAATATAGTTATGCTAAATATTTCATTATTTAAAATATTTAGTTATTTAAATGTTTAAATAATATAAAAAATATTCATTATTTTAATTTAAGATATTTAGTTATTCAAATATTTTTCTATGTAATTATTTGGCTATTTTTAGTGTTTTATTATTTAAATATTTAGTTATTGAAATATATATTTTATTTTTTTAATATTAAATTTCTATTATTTGAATAACATTTAATTTGAAGAATTTTGAAAATCATAATTTATATCGTTAATACATAATTTTGTGATGAATTTTATAAAAATATAAAACTATTAATAATATTAATATTATTAAATCTATAATAATTATATTTTGTGTTTTTAATAATTATTTTAAAGTTTATACTATTATTACATAACTTCATTGTTAATTTTATAAAAATACTAAATTATTATTAATTTGAATATTATGCTATGATTTTTTATTTTATTGCATAATTTTGTGTTTTAACTATTTAAAATATAGTTATGTTAAAATATTTAGTTATTTAAATATGTAAATTGTATATAAAATATTTAAAAATACTCATTATTTGAATTTAAGATGTTTAGTTATTGAAATATTTAAATAGTTAAATATTTTTCTATGTAATTATTTATCTATTTTTGTTATTTTATTTTTTAAGATATTTAGTTATTGAAACATTGAAATGATATTTTATTTTTTTAATGTTAAACTTCTATTATTTGAATAACATTTAAATTGAATAATCTGGAAAATCATAATTTGTATTGTTAGTACATAATTTTGTGATGATTTGTGTAGAAATATAAAAGTATTACTAATATGAATATTATTGAATCTATTATAATTATTTTTTGTGTTTTTAATAAATATTTTAAAGTTATTATATAATTTGTTAAAATATTTAAATAATTTTTAAATTTTTAATTTATACTTTCTTTAGATATAAATTGATAAAAAGTGGCAAAGAGGATAAATAGGAATTAGAGATAATTTGGAGAAAAATTCTCTAGTAAATTAGAGATAAGTTCGGAGACAAATAAGATTTGAAGATGATTTAAGAGAAAGTGGGGGAGGTAGTTTAGGATAAATTTTAGGAGAAGAGATTGTTGAGGAAGGAGAGCATCTCATTGGTTTTTTAAAAAATGACATGGAATAAAAAAATAAAAAATTCAAAAACAGGAGAAAATTTCTTGACCGCTTTTATATATATATATATATATATTATCTGACTTCATTGCTAACAATGCTCACTTGGATCGGAATGATGCTAATTTTTGGAGAGGTTCAAATGACTGGATTATTTTCTCTTTTGTCTACATGAATAAAAGTATTTTCCTCTCTCAATAATAGGCCCGAGTATGGGATATATATTTGGCACAACTTTTTTGTGTGATGATGAGGTCATTTTCTAATAGCCAAGGTCCCTTGTCCACTGCAATATCTCGATCAAAACTGCTCGGAAACTTAACTAAAAAAAAAGCCTCTTTTGTTGTGATTCAACCATGAGTACTAGATTCAACCAGACTCTTATTTGTTTCTAGCTTTGTTTATTCTGCCCTTTATCCCTCATGGCTGAAGAAAACCTACTACTGATCTATCAAAGTTACTGATTCCAGCATCCACGGATCCAGTGGAAGCAACTGATGAGGATATTTTTCCGAAGGAAAATTGGCAAAGGAACTTGATTTTTAAAGTTCTCATAGATAAACCTGTGAAGGTTACAGGTTTAAAAGAAATGATTGTTAAGTTAAAGCCTGGAAAGTATATTTACCACAACTGAAGAAGCAGCAGCCCTTCGAAATATATATTTTCACTTCCCAATCAATCAATCATGTGCAGTGTATGTGCTTCGTCTTTTGCGTATCATGAATAGGGTGGGGTGAGTCTATTAATAAGAACACAAATATACCCCCATTGGATTTCATAACTCAAGATACACAAAGAATACATATAATTAAACAACAATCTTTCTCAAAGATTGAGAATCAAATAAAAAATTCAAACTTGTGAAGGTAGTCGACTATTTAGGGGATGACTCATCCCCGTTCTTCTTCAAGACAGAACATAAAACCTGCCTAGAAATATATGTTTCAAGTTCCTTTGATACTTCTGTTAGCTTCAAATCAAAATTGTCTCGATACTTCTGTTTTGGTGACACCAGAACACCAGGGAAAATAGTTGGGGAACCGGAGAACCGTCTCCTTGGACTTGAAAACTTCCCTGGAGAACCTGGAAGCCATCCTTTGGATACGAGAGGTGATGCTTCTGATCCTGCACCTACTGTACTCATCTGCTGGTTTACCAATGGACCACATTTTGTTTCTAGTGGCAGTGGCTTCAGAGACTCATGTTCTGTATTTGGCTTCTGTTTCATGATTCTTTCTCTGGCTTTCTCAGCTACCATTAGAGCCTTCTCACTGCTCATCTTTATTAGCTTCCAAGGGTTGATGCTTGCACGGAAGTTATTTTTCTTGTTAAAATTGGATGAACCAGGGTCTCCATCAATTCTTATGGATAATCTTGTCAACTGATGAAAAGTTAGACTTGTAGGTTAGTTTCATGATAATAATAGGCAGCTGCCACAGGTCTATTAATAATAGGTAAAAGTTGTCTTTCTTCTAACCTGTCTTGTGTTTTCTCCCCCACATAAAAACTTAGATGCAAATCTATGTTTTTCTGGTGACTCAAAGTCGGTGCTCTCATCAGAAGAAGTATCAGAGTCGTCAAATAGTTCTCCATCAAATTGGTTCTCTTCCTTCATTGCTAGTATATAGTCATATGTTTTCATTCCCTACATCAATTAGAAAGAAGTTCTTATGTTGGCACAAGTATGTAGATAATTTTTGGGATGCAAAGGAAAGAATAGAAAGGATAAAATAGTTTTAAACAAATTCTACGAGGCAGAAATTTACTTGAGACGGAAATAATAAGAAATAAAGACTTTGTTAACAGAAAATCTTTAGAATCCAAGCACAAAAGGTGATTTCTTCAAGATGCTGTGATCACATGAGATGAGCTCACTTATCATTGCATCCTAGAGTTTGAAAGTAAATAGTCATCAATAATCACTAAGTTATGATCATTATATGTCAGTGTTGCCAAGATGAATCTTCTCAATAAACTATTAGGACAAGAAGGTTCAGAATACTTTATTCCTTGAGTGTTTCCCCAGGATGGAGATCCCCACCTAACTCCCTGCACTCCCCGGAAAAAGACATAGAAGAAGAAAGGATAAAAAAGAAAAAAAGGATGACAATCATTATTTTGTGCAGGCTAAATAACTTCTTCACAATGTGTTGTTAAAGAACAAACCTAACATCTGATCAACAACTAGTGAAAGCAACTGGTGAAAACAAGAAGAAAATGCAAAACACAGCAATTCAAGAAAGCACATAGAGATTTTCATGGTTCAGATTTTAGCCTACATCCATGGACAATGGAGGAGCAGAAATCCACTAGAAAACAATTTGAGCAACCTCTTTCTCACACAGAAAACCCTAAAATCATTGGCATATACCTGAGCTACACTCTCAAACTTGCTCTATAGACCCCCCCCCCCTCACAACAACTTAACATTATATATTCGGGTCAGTCCCATATGCTGAAAACCTCAATGAAATTTTCCCTTCAGGTTTTTCTCCACAGGTTGGGTCATAAGTGGGCCATAACAAGAATCAAGGCACAACTCAACAATATGGTTTGTTGTTTGAAAGTAGAGGTAATATCTATATATCTATAATTCTATCAAACTGAGCTTCTAATTAGATGTTAAATCAGTACGGTGGGAGAATTCCATGTGCTTCATTCCATTCTCTACTCTTTTCTAGACAACATTTTTAAATAACAGCATTAAGTAGAGAAAACCATCCATGAAAATACCTTTCTAATGAGAACCAAGTGAAAGAAGAAAAGCTGCCCCAGTGCTGCTGAACTGTATGCCGTCATTAAAACCAAGAAAACCTATTGCACATTGTACTAAAAATCAGCAAGAATTATAAATTTAAGAAAATAAGATAGTTCACTGAATTCCACATGGCAATAGTATGCTCAAAAATAAAAAAAGAAAGAAAGAAAAAGAGAGTTCATCAGAAGTTACTGATATTGCTGCAAGAACTCCTCGTGGTATCTCTATATGGATTTTTTTCACCACTTCCTGCTCAATCCCTATCTTATCCACAAAACATCGGATGAATATAGCAATTGCACTCCCTCCTTCCATAACTAGCTGCATTAATTAAAATAAACAGAGAATAAGAACAACCAGTAAACAATTCAAGGACCTGAAGTCTTTTTCAGGATTATTCCTAGTTCAACTTGAATGTTTAAAGAACAGAAGCAACTGACCATTATCAATACAAAAACCATTAGAAGAATGAAGGTGGTGTAGTTCTTTTTTCCGATGCAGTTATTTAACCACTGGAACAACAAAAAACAATCATAACCTAACTCCTCCTTTTGTTAAACAAGCAAAATATCACACATTTGAGCAGAGATAAGGTATAAAAGAAAATAGGGAAAAAAACTTCTCTGCTGCTTACCCTACAATGATGATCAAATCCTTCAACACACCTGTTGCAGGTCCTACAATGCTTGCTGTGCTTTTTAACCTGATAAAAAACCAAGTAGCTCAAATACTCAAATATGTATAGGACTGGTGGTACACTAAGCTATAACTTGTTTTAGTTTCAGAGACTAGAAACTCCTGTCCCATTAAGTTTTTAGTCATTCTTAGATTATAGCTGTCTCATATATGGAGAGTTGTTCTCCTCTACCCTCCAAATCTTTCAATTCCAGAAGACGACACCATGAATGATGGAAATTACTTAACAAACAAACCTCAAAATCACATAGTGAGCAAAATGTGATATCATCATCTTTCAAATCGGGCATTACTGCATCGTCCTGAATAACAAGAGGGAATGGTAACAAGGGTTCCATCTGCACGCCAGTTTTTAGAGGATCCAAATATCTCCTCCTTATCCAATACTTAAGGATCTTTCTCTCCATCTTCCTGATAAATCTCAGTACAATCTGACCCAATAGGTATCCATAGTTCAACTTCAAAATCCCACAAGTTTTTTTACTTCTTTTCTTCTTAAAGCAAGTTTTGTCAGTTGGGTCTATGGCAGTGCATCTTACAAATAGGAAGGCTACCGATAATGCCTGAAATAATGGAAGTCATAATAAATAAAAGTCAGTAAACCAGACCAGAAAAATCAAAATGCAGATTAACCAGAATCAGCAGTGGGAAATACCACGAAAGAAAACAGCGTGACCACCGTGATCTCAACAGTTCTGTTTCCTAGATAAGGTCCTAGGAAGGCGTAGAAGTTAACGACAAGAAAACTGTAAACTGCCATGCCCACGATCTGCAAATCAACAATGATTTATTTCAATGTCATGGAGATTTAAAACAAGATACATGATTTCAAGCTACTGGACTAATGCACAAATACTAGGTTTCAAAACGAGGACTTCAAAATATAAATATAACTTTAAAGACCAAATTTTATAAGGAGAGTTGTTAAACAGATAAATGTACTGAATCAAGTACATTTTGTCAACTACTTTCAAGCAAATGAAGGTTTTAAAGATTTAAGGTGTGGGCTTGAACTTGGGGGTTCTAAGAATTAACGATTCTAGGTCTAAAATATGAACTATAACAGTTTTAGCACATTTATTCGGAAATTAACGAATAGGGTACAAACTAGGGTTTTTAAACACAGTTTTAACGATCGCAAGGAAGAGACCTAATAAAGTTGCCACTAAATTTTTCTCAAGCTTCAAAAGATTAGATACCTAAAGCCCTAGAGCTTTTCTTCTTAATTTTTTTAGTGGTCGTTTGGGAAAGACGTTCAAATAAAAATCTTAAATTCCAAAAGATTATTGTTTTGGAGGTTACTGATGAGAGGGATACCTGTAATGGGTGGAGAGGGCGCTGCCAGCCATGGCGTCTCATGTTCTTGACTTCGGGAGGAAAGTTACAGCTTCGGTCGAACATGGTTGATTCCTAGAGATCCATTAGAAGAACTTCGAACTTTTCTTGATAGAATGGCTAGCTACTTGCTAGTTGTTTTTTGGATTTCACGGTCTTCTCCTCGAATATGAACCAACGGTCGAGTCTTCAGAATTTAAAATTTGAACACATAATTTGTTAGGATATATTCCCAGCACACAGTCCCAACAACCGGTCTCGCCACAGTGCCGATCACCGAATTGGGATCTGCTCCTTACACCAAACTCACAAAGACACATTCGCATCCCACCGTGTATTAGGAACATCTCCCAGAGATATTCCGATGTGTGACTAGAACATATGAGACCGGTGTGAAGAGCGTTCTGTAAGAATTTAAAATTTGATCAAACATACCTCCCTTTTCTCTAAATGACATGAATGTCTTTTTTTCTTTGCATATTTTTCTTTTTTTTAATTCTTAATTCATTTCACTGACACGAATGTCTCTTCATCTTAAAATATAAAAATTACCCACTCCTTTCTCAAATAAATAAAAAAATGAAACCATAAATTTATATCTATTACAAAGAATCCTCTACCATTTCATTTGAATATTGAATCCGACCAAAAATTTGATATGATCTATTGGAGCAGTTCACAGGATTTTAATGTTATATTTAAAAATGTAATCCAATCATAAATCATTCAAATAAATAATAAAATGGTAGTAATCATCCAATCATAAATCATTCAAATAAATAATAAAATGGTAGTTTGGGGGTTCAAAAGAATTCTAAACAGCTGAATGAGATTTTTTTTTTTTTTAAGTTAAATGACGAAACTCTAATAGAGTAGGGTATTTGTCGCTAAGGCTGTGTTTGGTTGGTGCAAATTCATTTGCATTGAATCAAAAGCATGGTAGTGCAAATGATTCGGCTGCAAGTTTTGATTTATGTTTGTTTCAAATTTTACCTTATTTTGTTTGGTTGCATTAAAAATGAAGTAAAATAAGACATTAAGTAGAATAAAGTAAAATCCAAAACAAAATTAAACAAACATTTGCATTTTTTTTTCATTTGCACTCCCATACATTTGTACTAGTGCAAATAAAATTGCATTGCAACCAAACACAACAAAAGTGAAAGTTAAGAGGGTCTTTGTCGTAAATGAAAGTTTAGTGGGGGTATTTGTTACTGACCCAATAGTAGAAGGGGTCTTTGTAATTTATTCTTTTATTTTTACCAAAACAAGCATTGTTGCCACCATGCCAATCACCCTCTTGACATACATACATGATATTAGCTTAGGAGCTTTGTAGTAGTAAAATAATGGAACTTTTTTTTTCCTTTTTCAAAATTTTAAGTTCATAATTTTAGCCTAACAAAATCCTCCTCAAGGAGTTAGGATTTTCTCAATATTAGCACCCAATTTTGACTTGGTCTCTTCACCCTACCTATTTGTACCCTATTCTTAGACCCCAAAAACTCAAAAACACAACCAAATCAACTCGAGACTTCACAAAACCCAAAATACCCTCATTTGACACAATCCATAGGACAAATAACAACCTTGATGTCAACATTAACGCCTGATCAGACACCATCCCTAGACCTGGAAAACTATAACTTAGTTATACATCGGTTTTCATGACTAAACTGCAAAGATCCATCGTTATCATGCTAACTTCCTTTATAACGGCCCCGATCTATGCAACATTCAAACTCCAACTTCTCAAAATTAAATCCAACACACCCATCACCTCAAGACTACTAGGAAACAATCAACTAGAGAACCCTACCATGAATCTACAACAACCAAACACAAAGACATCAAGATCTCATTCCGATGGCCCTGAATGATTACCAAGATCAACCATATCTTTCTTAGATAAGAATCATCCACTTGACTCCTCCCCTTAATTCATGCCTACCAACCAAATTATAGCTCAAAATTCACCCGTTTGACCCCCATCAAGCCTAGATCCTATTTCAGCAAATCTCATTAATTAGAACTTACCATCTAGTGTCCCAACTTCACCTGAAAAATCAAACCTTACCATTGTGTTCAGAGACCCAAAAAACCCCACCACATCAAATTTTACGACCAACCACCTCCATTTGACAGTTAAAAAAGTGAGATTCCATTTCAGGCCCTTTCGTTGATTGAAAAACCATAAGCTAAGACCATGATCTGAACTAAAACACTCAATTCACACCTCTGATCAAAGATCCATCACTTCCATTAGATTCAAAACATTCAAAAGTGTCTGCCCACCAAATTTCATTCCAAAATTCCCCCGTTTGACCCTTCATCAAACACAGATTCTATTTCAACAAATTTTATTGATCCAAACTTATCAACCATAGATCTCAATCATCTCGACCATGTTTGTCTGATCAAACCTCACCACTTTGTTTAGAGACCCAAAAAACCCTGGCACATCAAATTTCATGACTAGATTCACCCATTTGATTGTTAAACTAGAAAAATACCCTTTTGACGCACTAGATTAAATTGCCACGCCATTTGTCCCATCTTGAAGCCTCAAAAGGGTGATGGCTGATGTCAGACCCATTCTTGACCAATTAAAATACATGGACCAATGAAACAGAGCCTAATAGGCTTAAAAAGCTCAAAATACTAAACAGACCCCTACTTAAGATTAAGAAAAGACAAAATAGTTTTTAAAAGTTCATCAAATTTATGTTTTTTGCCACTATCAGCCCCAAATACAGGGCTGCAACGTATGGCACGCCCCAAGCTCCCATTGGACACACAAATCCCACGAAAACCACCTCTAAATGGAAGAAAGAGTTTCACCAAATATGAAACCTTGACTAGGCACCTATTTCTTAGAAGAATCTTTGCCTTTTTGTGGAAAAAATCTCTATAGAATCTCAGGCACTGTAGCTGAACGAATTCAGACTTCACCCCCTCCCATTCTCTATAAATATTGACCCAATTCGAGCTTAAGAAGGGGACTGAAGGGAGGAAATTTGAGAGAGGTCCCTAGAGAAACAAAGAGAGAGGAGGTGGGCAATTTTATAACTTCTGTAACATACCCATTCTAATTGAAATCCCGGAATCCCTGAAGTCAAGCTTAAGCCTCATCCCCTATCTTTTAAACTTAACACCATAACCGATTAGCCCAACTCCCGCCTTGCTCAAGTTTTGTTTAAAGTCCTTTTAGCTACTAGAAAACTCTCGTCAAGGTACATACAAAAAGTAAGTCTTTTTTTAGTTTTTCTGGGTTGCTTGAGGTTCTAAAATATTGGAGAACCATCATTTCAATTTCTTCTTGACTGAGAATATAGGTAGAGAGGCGAGGGCCTTAGGGAAATCAGTACCTATGACCCGATAACATCACCTCAAAATCGGTCTTAGGGGAAGTTGAAAGCATGCTCATCCGAATTTAAGAAATTCTTGCAACTATTTATGTTTTTCTCCGAAAATAACTGAGCCTGAATAACTTCTGTTTCAGGTTGCTAAAACAGCTTGGAGAGAGGGGTGCCTAATAACTTCCCTCTCCCAATCCTTGGAACCCGAAATCTCTAGGTTGTGTGCCTTTTCCACGGAGGACGGAGTCACTATCAAAGACTTAAATCGAGTTTTCAAATCTGAAAATGAGGGCCCATTTCCTTTAAAACATGGGTGGCGACTCCAACTCTTTGAGCCGACCATGAGCTTCCTGGAACTTACACTCATAGAATGCTCCTTACAGCAACCTCACGGCATGTTGCAGATGCACATTGAGAACATCTCCGATGCTTGTATATTTTCATTGATAGGGTAATATTCCTAATGCCTGGTGCAAGTACTATGAGGTGGGTGTGAGGAGGATTTAGTGAAGAGAAAATTGGGAGATTCATATCAAGATAGGACTTATAAAATTTCTTGATCCTCTAGAATTATATACATGACAAGTTCTAATCTCCCACAAGCACTACTAGAAAATTCATCTATAGAGGCGGCCATAACTGCCTCTAAAACCTTACAAAATGCCTCTAAAGGTTATAAGAGGCGGCTAGGTAAGTGCCTTTAAAAGCGTTGTTGCTAAATGTTTTAGAGGCACTTGGTTGAGCATTAGAGGCGGACTATAAATCTGCTTCTAAATTGGACTTTTAGAGGCACATACGTCTGCTTCTATTGCACTGACGCTAAAAGTCTTATAAGAGGCAGTTAAAAGTGCCTCTGAAAGTTCAATTTAGAGGCGCATTTGAATGCATCTAAATGATTTTGCGGCAATTTTATGTGTCTCTAAAAGAAATCTAAGAAAAGGAAAAATCTATATGCTTTAATATTTAGAGGCACTTTTGGCCACCTCTAAAAAGGTTCCAATTTTTTTTTAAAAAGTGCAATATATTGTGAATATTGCTACATAAAAATTCCAATTAATACACTTATATGAAAATATATTCAATCAAAACATAAAACTTATATGAAAATATATATAAAATCTAAAAAGATACACCTTATCCATAAAATTCCAATTGACTTCCATCATCATTTTAAGAACAAAAACAAAAAAAAACAAAAACAAAAAAAACACAACATTCGACCCTCATTATATTCATTATTCCTTTTGAGTAGATGTCTTCATTTTTTAACAACCTACAAATCAAATATAGAGTAGTCCAAAAGAAATTCCTTTTAACATCTCAAAAAAAATCTCTTTGGAGTCTTCATCAAATCCTTTCTTCCTCTACAACCTGCAAAGAAAAGCAACAAAAAGAAACAAAAAGTAAATAGGTATAATTTTTGTAAATTAATAGTAATATTTACCAAAAACGAAGGCCAAGCAATAGTAGCTCCAACAAATGTTCCAATTGTCTTATGACGTCCATGAATTATCGGTACCTCAACATATACCTCTAAAAAATCTTGACCCAATTCAGTATCTCCTACTTTTTTACATGGGTCTTTGCTTATAATAACTGCTTTGGCCACAATTTCTTGCTTCCTTAAACTCTTCAGAAAAACCTAAATCATATCCTACAATCAAATTTTTTTATCAAATCCAAGCCATCAAAATAATATAAGCAAATAAATATATTTCTCTTCAACTTAATTACTAGATAAGAAAACATACTTAATTGTGGGTTCTTGGACATTTTAGATTTGTTTATGCAACAGAGGCTTTACTTGCTGAACAT